GCAGACCCAGACGTAGCGTGAGGGTCTGTTGGGAACGTCTGGCAGAATCCCCGGTGAGGGGGGCCTTCAACTCCCACCGCCGGGAGAGTTTTGAACAGGTCCCGAGGGAGGCTGGAGACATTGAGTCTGAGTGGACTATGTTCTCCACTTCCATTGTTGATGCGGCTGTCCGAAGCTGCGGTCGTAAGGTCTCCGGTGCCTGTCGTGGCACAACCAACAACAGAAGGGAGAGAAAAAAAAATTTAAAGAAAAAATTTAATTTAAAAAAAAAAAAAATTCTCAAAAAACCCATAGTATATGAAATACCCAGCATTTTTTTCCCCCAATGTAAAAACCATATGAAGACAGTCACACATTTGATATTAAAAAAATAAAAAAAAAAAAAGACAAAAACACAAGAACCACAAACTAGATGAAAACAATATCCACTGTGACTTTATTTAAATCATCTGTTCAGGAATTTCAAAAATAAGCTTTTTTTTTTTTACTACTAACAAACAATGTAAAAAAATAAAATGATATCCACACAGTTTACATTTAGTCAAGTCTTCTACACATATTTAATGGCACTTCCATAACTCAAGCCCTGTGCCCAACTGAAACTATAGCCGCTAACAGGCTTTAGCTCAGGCCTGTAGGGGCAGCACTGCCATCAGCACACCACTAACTAGATGCACCTGAGCCAGCTCTTCCACATGAGGTGCTGAGTGGCCTACTTCACTAGATAAAAGAATTTGACCAAAACCAAAGCAGCTAACAGCTAATAGGCTTCAGCTCAGGCCTGTAGGGCATTAGGGTTAGGAGTGGGGTCCCAACCACAGGCCCTAGCCTGCCACTTGACAACCCCCAGGCCAGAATAAAAAAAAATAGGAACACAAAAAAGAGCACAAAATTAACAAAACCAACAACCCAGTTAATAATTTACAACACCACAAATCAACAAACAAACACAAAGATAGGAATGAAAACAGGGTTAGCTTTAGCTTAACCCTAACCAAAGAAGTTAATTAGGCCAAACAAAAGCTGGTTGAAACACACAGAAAATGGAGGGAACGGGGCAAATCTAAGAAAGAAAAGAACAGGACAAAACAGAGAAACCAGCACATGACCTACCAGAACCAACACAGAGAACCACACCAAGAAGCAGTCAAAGAGAGAACTGAGCCATTTGGAGGCCTTATATCCTACACCTGGGTGAGGGGGAGGGGCTAAGTGACAAGTTGGGGGAGTGGCTAAGCGACTAGCTAGGGGAGGGGCTATGGGAAAGGCTAGGGAAGGGGCTCAGGGTTGAGCTAGGGGAGGCTAACTGAGATCTAACACCTCCAATCCCCCTTTCTGCAATGACCCTTGTTACAGCAGCCTGAAGACTAAATACCAGAATTTCCCAGTGGTCAGTCAGAACTGAAGAAGCCTCTTGGATGAGATGTGAAACGTCTCCAAAAGAAAAAAAAAACCCTACTTTGTCCAGTTGCTTTTCGATGTAACTATTTTTTGTATTAAATTACCTGGATGAATAGAATAGAATAGCCTTTGTCATTGTAACACAGGGGTATAACGAATTTGAAGCCAATTGGACTGAGAACCTACACAGACTAACAGATCTATGTACAATCTTCACTACACCAAGAACTAAAAATAGAATCTTATTCTGGGATGTCTAAAATCACAATAAGGACTTACTTTACTATGACTTTCATGAAATAGAATTAAAATATAAAAGTAGCCGAAAGTAAAACGTGACTTTATTGAAATCATCTGTTCAGGCTGCTTGAATACGGGTTAAAATTTGTCCACTAGATGGAAGCATTTGACCAAAACCTAAAAAAATACGGGGTCACTTCAATGACCCAACTAAAAGCAGACAAACAAAACTATAGCCGCTAACAGGCTTTAGCTCAGGCCTGTAGGGGCAGCACTGCCATCAGCACACCACTAACTAGATGCACCTGAGCCAGCTCTTCCACATGAGGTGCTGAGTGGCCTACTTCACTAGATAAAAGAATTTGACCAAAACCAAAGCAGCTAACAGCTAATAGGCTTCAGCTCAGGCCTGTAGGGCATTAGGGTTAGGAGTGGGGTCCCAACCACAGGCCCTAGCCTGCCACTTGACAACCCCCAGGCCAGAATAAAAAAAAATAGGAACACAAAAAAGAGCACAAAATTAACAAAACCAACAACCCAGTTAATAATTTACAACACCACAAATCAACAAACAAACACAAAGATAGGAATGAAAACAGGGTTAGCTTTAGCTTAACCCTAACCAAAGAAGTTAATTAGGCCAAACAAAAGCTGGTTGAAACACACAGAAAATGGAGGGAACGGGGCAAATCTAAGAAAGAAAAGAACAGGACAAAACAGAGAAACCAGCACATGACCTACCAGAACCAACACAGAGAACCACACCAAGAAGCAGTCAAAGAGAGAACTGAGCCATTTGGAGGCCTTATATCCTACACCTGGGTGAGGGGGAGGGGCTAAGTGACAAGTTGGGGGAGTGGCTAAGCGACTAGCTAGGGGAGGGGCTATGGGAAAGGCTAGGGAAGGGGCTCAGGGTTGAGCTAGGGGAGGCTAACTGAGATCTAACACCTCCAATCCCCCTTTCTGCAATGACCCTTGTTACAGCAGCCTGAAGACTAAATACCAGAATTTCCCAGTGGTCAGTCAGAACTGAAGAAGCCTCTTGGATGAGATGTGAAACGTCTCCAAAAGAAAAAAAAAAACCTACTTTGTCCAGTTGCTTTTCGATGTAACTATTTTTTGTATTAAATTACCTGGATGAATAGAATAGAATAGCCTTTATTGTCATTGTAACACAGGGGTATAACGAATTTGAAGCCAATTGGACTGAGAACCTACACAGACTGAGATCTGTGTACAATCTTCACTACACTAAGAACTAAAAATAGAATCTTATTCTGGGATGTCTAAAATCACAATAAGGACTTACTTTACTATGACTTTCATGAAATAGAATTAAAATATAAAAGTAGCCGAAAGTAAAACGTGACTTTATTGAAATCATCTGTTCAGGCTGCTTGAATACGGGTTAAAATTTGTCCACTAGATGGAAGCATTTGACCAAAACCTAAAAAAATACGGGGTCACTTCAATGACCCAACTAAAAGCAGACAGTTCAAATGACAGGAAGTTAAAAAAAATCACATCAATTAAGAAAATGTACATGTCCATTTAAAGATGACGTTCTGAATACCAGCTCATTCTGGCTGGACACTGTCAGCATTAGCACATTTGGGGTCAGGTTCCGTCAATCTGACCATAAAGGCACTGAAACAAAGCACTTGGGTCAGTGCAGGATTAAAAAAGTACTTTAATAGTCAAACCTAAGGGTATTTTGACCAAAGTATGTTATTGATACGAAGGAAATGATTTTTAAGCACAAAAGGGCATAATATGTCACATTTAACAAATAGCAATAGAAACACTTGTTTTCACAGTTGAGACACTCAAACCAAATCAAATTACTGCAGTAGAAGTTACCAGTGTTTACCATGCAGTGCAGTATGAACATTCATTTTCGGACTAAAAAAATATCCAGAGAGATTCGGGTCAAAAGTCACTCTGAACACAGCTGTATTGAGTTCTACAACGATGTAGAATATATACATTCATGATCATTGAATCTTGGTTTTAACATTTGGTTGCTTTTCAGCTACCAATGTGTTTCAGAAACCAGCTATTCATACTGCAGAGAAAAGGTTGTTGGACTGCCAACTGCTGATGCAAAATCTGTTTAGTGGCGCTGGGTTATTTTTATTTTTTATTTCCATGTTTTTATCACAGATGGCAATATAATTCATGGGAGTGGTTGGTATGACAGAGACCTGTTTACATTGAAATGGTTTAATTTGAGATCAGGTCATTTTTGTTGTGCGCTATTTGCTTATTTTGTTAAATGTGGAAGAATGAATGCATCCATAAATGTTACATTGCAGCATGTGTGTACTTCTTAGGTTTAGGTTATGTCTTAGGTATATCAAAGTTTTTGTTAGTTTTGTGGGGGTAAAAGGCAAGATACATGCATGTTACTTAAGTAAGTAAAAGGGTTGGAATTTAATGATTGCGGCTGACCCTCATTGTCCCACTCAAACCTGCTACGTGTCCCACATTTTGTCGGCTTGGTGGTGGTCACCCTACTAATATTCAAAATTTTACAGAAAATGTTTCAAATTAGTTCAAAAACTAGTAAAAAAAACTACAGTATAAGCTTCTATATTGGGTTCATGTATTTGTATATTTGCCCTCGTAATTATACGCTTTTATCAGACTGTAAAACATTTTAAAAAAAGTTGTGGATGATGCGTTGATCACTGCATTGCCTTTAGGCCCCCATTTCAACTGCTATGAATGCAGATATAGAAAAGGTTTGGTGCCAATATCACATTTCTTAACTTCATTCTGTCAGCAGACAACTGATGATTCAACACAGGTGTTCTATATAAACACATTAATCACAACGATCACAGTTTCAAAACTTTATTTAATTAAAAACTGTAACTTGCACTGAAGTCGATGCAGTTGATGAAGAAAAGTTATCAGAGATAAAAGTAAAGTCTTAACAGATAAAAATCAATGGCTGAAGCTGAACTTTCTTTTCTACTGTCATTTCATCAATATTAAGCACAGTAAATGTAAACTGTACAAGAGGGATACAGGTCCAGGATAAATAAAAACAAAGTGAACATTTCTCACAACTCGTGTCAAACAGATCCCAGAACTCTGATGGAACCTGAGGCTGATCTGAGCACAGGAACCAGAACTTCAAATGTTCAAACTGAGGCTTAAGAAACAGCAGCATGGAGATGAACCAAAACCCAGGTTACTGCTAAATGACATCAGGGCTTGAAGGAAAGAGTATGTGTGTGTGTGTTGAACAACTGTGTGGTGTGAAGAACAGTCAATGAGTGATACAGGAATCACTGCTACTTAAAACAAGCAGATTAAAAAGTGAGACGTGAAAGCAGAGCAGATTTCCAGCGTGGTCTGCTAGATGTGTCTCTTCACATTCTCTGCTCTTCAACTGTATCTAAAAAATAAATAAAAATAAATCAACATCTGCAGTGAACACAAGCCATGAATTTCCTAGGAAACACCTTTGGTTGAAATTTTTATTTTACCTGGTTCCTTCAGGGCCTGTGCATTTCCCACCAGTCTGGTCAGAGACTCCGTGTTTCCATTGAGGACCTCCTCAGACAAGTTATTCTTCTGCTGCTCCTCCACTATTCTCTTCTGTAGCTCCTCCTAAAAAATTACTTAAAGGTCAACTTTGTTTCCACTGTGATTGGTTCTTTTTTATTCTTTTCCAACAGCCTGTGGCCCAGCAGTTCAGACAGCTGCTTTGTGATCATAGTGTTCCCAGTTTTAATGGCAGAAATAAAAACATTGCACATTGAAGAGCAACACACATTCATTTTTTGACTCCGACGTTACACACACACCTCACACATCACTGTGAGCTGCAGAGGCAGGTCTTCCACCTTGACAAAGTCTTCTTCATCAGACTTTTGGCTTGTGTTACCTGAAGCCACCTCCTACAAAAATAACAGAAAGTCATTCTTGAGTATTTTACACCAGTTTTAGATTTTATTATAAACATTATTGGTGTATCACAACAGTCATTGCGGACTTACGTCCACGTTGATCATGACAGGTGAGTCTGTGTCAGGGCTGCTGGTCGTGGAGGACTTCAGTCCTTCAAAGACTCCTGTGCTTGCTGCTTTCTCGTCTGTGACATCATTCTTGAGTATTTTACACCAGTTTTAGATTTTATTATAAACATTATTGGTGTATCACAACAGTCATTGCGGACTTACGTCCACGTTGATCATGACAGGTGAGTCTGTGTCAGGGCTGCTGGTCGTGGAGGACTTCAGTCCTTCAAAGACTCCTGTGCTTGCTGCTTTCTCGTCTGTGACACCCCGCTCCTGCTCCTCCTCCTCCCCCTCCTCCGGGCTCTGGCTTGTTGCTGTAGTGTTTTCAGCCAAGGCTGAATTGATAGTCTCCACTGGTGTGATTATTTCTGCAAATTTCAAAGATCCATGAGAAGAAACTGCACAGCTGACGTCGTTTTAATAGAAAAGTCCATAAAGTAATAATGGTAAAAGCCTCACCAACACCACCCTCTAGACTCTGATCACTTTTCATCTCCTGGATTTTATTGGCAGTTGTTTCCTGAAACATGACACAGTGATCAGATCAGAATGAAAGAATCTCAGGGGACACTACACGTGTCTCACCTCTGCCTGTCTGTCAGCCGAAGCCTGCAATGACGTCTGGACATCGACAGGTCCGGCTTCAAACTCTCCCAACTCCTCCTCCTCGTTCTCATCCTCCCCACTGCCATAGTTTGTCAGGGCCTGGGTCTCTGCTTTGGAGAGATCTGGAAAAAGAAGTAAAAATTTAGATAAACTAATTTAAGATGATTTTTTTATGTTATTCCTGTAACTACGTACAAAAGACTACAAGGTCAAGTGCAAGCCCAGCTCCAAATTTATCCTTTTGCATGATACTTGGATTGTTCAATGTGTCCTTAGAGGCGTTAGTTTACAAAATCCAAATAGGAATCGGATTGCCCCACCAACCACTAGAGAGAGCCCAAGGACAACCAGTAGCACACAACCTAATCTTGTTTTAGTGGTCTGCAACCTTCCACACTAAAAAGTAGGGATGTAAGGATGCACTCACCCACGATATGCCATAATTCACAATTTTGTTTTTCAAGAAAATGTCGTCAGATGTTTTTTTCACATTTGGACCACAGATATAACCCAAAATGCATTTCAACATACACCTCCAATACTTATGACTCAATCACTTAAGGACCTCAATGAGCTCAAAGTTTGGTTTCCAACCTATCCAGAGCACAGTGACTGACCAATCTGTCTGGAGATTCAGATCAGATGATTATAAGAGCCAAGTCAGGTGTGCTGCTGCTTGGTTGGAACAAAACCTGCAAACTGTTCCACAGCGGCCCCTTGTGGAACAGTTTGCTCCTTCACTAATACAAATATATTTTTCTTTGACGAAATACTTTAGCTTTTTACTCACTGAAGGACAGAGACATTTTCTGTCCCGCACCTTCATCCTCATCTTCCTCGTCAGCTTCTGACACTTCACTGCTGCAGTTGTACTTCGTCTCTATCTGCAGGTAACACTGCTGCTGCAGTGGCAGTGGTGGTTGTTGTTCTTCTTCTTCTTCTATGGAATAATTTTGCTGCTCAGTTTCATCTTGATCCTGCATGAAAAAAACCCCAAAATAAACATAGTTGAGCTGGACTTGTAAAAAATGATTTCATCATCAATGTGACTCACCTTGTCTTCATCTGAATAGGCTGGAGTCGGAGACTTGTCACAAACAACTGGATTTTTCTGATTAATATAATAAAATAATTAGAGGAGAATCAAACAACTTTGTACCTGGCATTTTAATGAAACAATGAAATTTCTATTCATTATTTATATAAAAATTATCAAGTAAAAAAGACATGACTTACATTGACAGCATGTCTCACATTAGTAGTTTGCTCACTCCTCTTATTTTTCTTCTTGGCAGCTGAGGCCACATTACTGCTTTTGTCCAAATCCTGCATGAGCCTGAAGAAGGCCAGTTCATTGAAGAGAATCTCAGAAATTTCCACCAGGAGGTCCTCTCCGCAGTCCTTCAGAGTCCGGCCGATAAATTTACTCAGAGAGTCCTGGTATGAGAGACAAAAACGGAAATTTGAACAGTTCTCCTGGAACAGAACATCTGCCATTGGGTTTAGGTACTGACCTGCAGGATGCCTCCCAGCTGACGGTGGAAAAAACGAACAAACTCCTTGCTCTCGTCATTTTGTTGGGTGAGCATGAGGACCATGCGGCGCACGGATGTCAAGAGCTGCATTGAGCAAACCTCGTCCATGTTCTCCTATAAGACAACATTCCAGCATTTACTTACTGTCTGCAGTCACAGTAAACAGAACAGATAACTATTTTTGTCAAGTAACGTCTAAAAGATACATGTTTTTACCAGGCAACTTCATTAGGTACACACTTCACAGATCTGTGTATACACACCAATAGTGCAATCGGATTATAGCTAAGGATAAAGAATGCAGTCATTTTTTCTGTTTTTTATTGATTTGTTGATTTATGCTCTATAAACAAAATGAACTTGTCTCATCTCTCTAATGTTTATTTCCTGAGCTTGACACTTTCACTGGTCTTCATTTGACTTGGAACTTCTACCCACAGTCAAAACCTATGCAGCAGCTGCAGGACTCTAACATATCTATGTTTTAGCATCATGTTGATTCTATGTTGCTGTTTTTCATTCTGTTTCTTTTACCGTCAAATAGGGAATGACTTCAGTCATGATGGCTTTGATCTGTCGGTCCAGCTGCTGGGTGTTGATCTGAGGATAGTCCGCATCTCCAGCTGCTCTTCTTGCTGCTGACACAAGAAATTACACTTCAAATTCAGCACAAAAGCAGATGATTTTAAACAGTGTGTGTACGTGAGGTGTTTTTGTTGTTTTGGACTGAGTACCTTCCAGTGGATCAGCAGAGAGAGCAGAAGCCTGTTCTGCATGTGAAACCTCAGAGTCACCTACACCTGCACTGCTGGCATTGCAGGGGTTTAATTCAGCTTTTAGCTTCATGCGCTCATACTCCCTAATCCTGGCCAGAGCTTTGTCTAAATGAATCACTGTGTTGCCTATCAGAGCAGCAAAGAAATAAGAGCAAAGAGAAACATGGGGTGTCAACAGTTGAAAAAGCAGTGTTTACACTGGAGGATCAATGTCAAACGTTGTTTTTGTTCAGAAAATGACTGACGCTACCACGTTCTAGCTCACAAATAGTTGATCCTGAAGTGTAAACTGGTTGGTTCACAAGACAAGCTCTTAAGGAAGTTGAAGTCAACAAGCAGAGCAGTTCCACAGTCTTTAGAATGTGGCCAAAGAGATTTCTTTGCTATTTTATGACAAACATTGGGCACGAGACAGGCAACACTTTACCCAAATCATCGTTGGCAAATGGTTCCAGGTTGGAGGAGATGGAGACGGGGCTGTCGTCCACAGACTCTGTGTCCTCCTGCTTTTTCACCGTGTTCTGTGTGAGCCTAAGGTTTTTCTCCACCATCTCCTAGAAAGAAGAATATTATGTTTCAAGTTTCATGTGAAACAAAAGTTGTTTCAAATTCACGTTGAGATGAGGCTCTACAAAAAGAAAGACCAACTTTTGTTGTGCCCTACAGAAGACGCAGTAGTGGCTTCTTCTTTCTTCAAACTTTGAAGAGTGAACACTATTTCTATTTTTCATGCAGGGTGTTAAAAGTAAGTGCAGTCATTAATGACGATGTGTAGAGAGGGTAACCATGGTGATGTACAGTGCAACTTAAGTTAAACTCTCCAAAGAACACAATGGCATCAGGAACCATGATATGTGCTTTGCTGATGATTTTGTCATGACTTTGTGAACACCACTTCTGTAATTTGTTAATAATCAGCACGTACACTTTGTCTTTCTAATTTTATTTTTTTTTGTATCAAAAACACACCTAACCATGAGGCAAGTACTGAGGTCTATATTGAACCTTCGGTTATATGTAGTGTTCACACGCCTTACTATGCAAAGGTAACAACAGGAATCACAAAATTGTTGGCTGCCAATTTGAAGAACTCTGAGCTGGTTGACTGAGAACAAAGAAAAATAATGTTGAATGTAAAAATGTATAAGAAGGAAAGTCAACTACTTGTCATTGTGACACAGCACACAACCAAATGTGACCTCTGCTTTTAATCTAACACCAAAGTGAACAGTGGGCAGCTTCAAGTGCCCGGGGAGCAGTGAGTGGTAACTTGGCAGCTGTTGAATCCAAACCTGAAGCCTTCCAGACCTAAGTCCGCTTCCTTAACCACTAAGCCACCACTGCCTCGAAAAAAGAGGAAACTTGGACAAGGTAGAACCGGAGAGAGACTAAACAGCCAGTAGAACTGCAGCAACATCCCACTGAGAAGCATTAATATGACTCTCACAGCATCACTGGTTGCGAGGCTCTCACTGGGCGTCAGCTCAGACTGAGAGCCTGCAGCCCACACAGGCCCGTGAGGAGACAGATGGTCCTGGGCAGCACTCTTCTCCGCCAGATGTCTGGTCACTAAATCCTGGAGTAAACACAAAATGAGGAGTTTCATAGCAGATTTGGTGAAAGGAGCAAACATTTTTCAAAAAATTAAAGATTTGTTAATGCGTTGATTTGTTAGTTGGTGCATTCTGGCTCTACTAAAATTCTGATTGGTCAATTTTTGATACTACTTTATTCATTCTGATAATCATTTTATAACCACAGGCGCACCTGCCCGCTACGTCAACAACTTCCATCAGATGTTCACACAAACAACGCTGGTTGTTCAGCCTCTATCATCCAAATGCAAAAACGACATCTCAGAAGGATTTGTAAATTTTATTGCACAGAATATGAGGCCCATCTATGTTGTGGAGTGCCAAGGTTTTAAGAACTTGCTAAAAGTTTTGGAACCTGGATATACAGTGCCAGCAAGCTAGAAAATAATGCATGCATTATCGGAACAAAATGACGGTGTCTGTGAATTATTATAACATGACAAAAACAATTAACTAAATTTTCCTCAACAGTTCTTGTGCTCATATTACCCTTGACGTTTTTATACATTTATGGAAACTGGGGCTATGATGTTGCACAGATGCAAAATGCTGTGAGAGCTGATAGACTCCAGTGTGTACTTAATTTCAGTGCAAAATATTTAGGCCAAAAAACAATGTAATATAAAGTAAATAGACTACTAGACTTTATCTATAAATAATTTAAGTGGACAGGGCTATTCAGCACCGATCTGTGCACAAAACATGTCTGTCCTCACCTGGAGGGAATAGAGCGCCCTCTGCCGTAGATAGTCAGTGTTGAGGAGCTGCAGCTCGTGAAAAAGCTCAATGAGAAAGTGAGGCCTAGATTCATTCTGGGAGATCAGTGTGGCCACCTCCGAGTAAATGGTTTCCCTCAGTGCCTCGAACAGAGAGAAGTCGTTACTGGCATCTGCGGGGTTCAACATACATTCAATGAACAAAAAACAGCATTTTTTATGTGTTAAAAATGGCTCAGGCTTGAATTGTTTAGGTGACGTAACATCAACTTAGTGATGGAGTTTACCTGGTGCCTCTGTGCATGCAATTCTGTTAGAAAGGAAGGGTGTTCTCCAAGCATAAGCTGTGAGTGAGAAAAATTAATTCACCCTAAACATGTGAGGATGACCAATATTCAACGACAGTAAAGGATGTACAGAATGGACAGAAAGAGATGTGAAAAAAGTATCTAGTACAAGAGTACAGGTGTAGGATATTTGGCATTGCCACAAAAACATACCAGAGGAAAGGTCATTTCTTTTATTTCCAAGCTTAGTCCGACTATTCAATTTTTCTCTAGTCAGCCTGTCCAGCAGACTTTGATTGTGCTCCTTGTCATACGACATGACTGCCCTCTCTTGGGCAAAGTCTGCAATGCTGCTCACACTGTCACTCTCATGGTCTGAAAAGGGGGGGAAAACATTTTTATTTTCTGTTTTTAACCAACATGTTTACAGCAGATAACCCCTTTTCTCACCTTCACTGTTTCTGTTCTGCCCTTTGCTCCTCCTCTTTCGTCGGTTCTTTGACCCAGGTGTCTTGCTACGGGAGGCCAGGTTGGCTTGTGCCGAGGCCTTACGTCCAGCCTTAAATGTCTTTGTTACGGTGGTGGGATCCACAGGGTCAGGCATGCTGCTAAAGCTCTCCTGTGATGTCTTATCAAATTCTTGACTTCTTGGGTGACTGTTAACAACAACTGGAGAGCAGGGCTGTGTCTCTTGTGTGTTTGAGTGAGGCTGGATGTTGTTGTTTGTACAGGTGTTGAGCCATATACCTGGTCTAGAAATGGAAAAGAATATTGCTGGAAAAACCTAACTGCATTAAAAATATGATAGAGGTGATGGAGAAATCCAAAGACATACCCTTGTTCTGTTGTCTTGTTGAGGGGTGAACGTTGCAGAGGGGGAGGGAAACTCATGTACTCTGTTTTGATGGAGGTGTTGGGGTCGAGTTGTTGTTTTTGGTGATCGGCAACAGCAGGGCCTGCTGCACCTTGAGGAAAGTCAGTGACTGGAGCAGGGAAGAGTGGATACAGGCTAAAGTCTGAAATAAAAGGAGATCAATGACATAAACTTCTTGATTTTTTTCATCTTAACAAGAATGTTTTTTAATTATAAATATATCAAATATACCATACATATATAAGTTGTAAGATGATGCCTGGTGTATATTAATAATAATACCGTATAATCGGACCATAAGGCACACTGGGTTATAAGGCGCATTAAGGGAAACAAAACAGTCAATCAAGCATGTCCGGATCCCTTTCTTCATTATCGTTGCTGTTCCATTGGCAGATAGTGGCGTAACTCGCCCGGCGTTGCCTCCCTGTCTTGGTGAATGTGTTCGCCTTCTGTCATCTAATGCTCCCACGCAGGTCGCAATTTAACTTTAAATGCCCTGTTAACACCAATATTTAGCGGTTGGAATTCTTTGGTTAGTGATGGCAAGCCCCGAATTAGTTTGGTTTACTTGGGTTTTGACAATATCGGTGAGATGGGCGCGCATGGAGTCGCAGATCAATAGGGAGGGAGATTTGTGGAAAAGGGTAGTGACCTAAGTTGGACACTGGAGGACGCTGTTGTTGTTGTTCGCCCCTCCAGAGCGGTTGTCACTATTTTTGTTCTGGATGGTCACCATATGGTTGTTTTGACGCTGTGCCATGCGGAAGTTCGTATGTTGTTTTGAAGAGAGAGTGTGTGTTTGCCAGTATCGATAAAAAAAAGAAATAAAAATAGTTTTTGACCACGAAAAAATCGACAGCCATGCGTCCGAGTCGCCATCCATCGACAATTCAAAAAACCAACGTAGAGTCTCCGGGTGTTGGGAGGGACGACGCGACGTTGCGCGGATTTGGGTTACACAACCATACTGTAACAGTTGTTGTCGAGCATCTTCTAATGGTGATAACAAGAGTTAAACGCCATTGTTGGCTCCCAGTGTGCTTTAGTTCTGTGACATCATGTGTGATGCGCTGTGTGGTTTGTCTTTAAAAAATCGGTTCGAGGTCAGTAAGCACAACCAGAATTAATACATAGGGCGCACTGTCGATTTTTAAGAAAACTTAAGGATTTTAACTGTGCCTTATAGTCCGGGAAGTACGGAAATAATAAGGAGAATAAGGATATGCGACTTACTGGGAGGAAATGGGGATAACGCAGCTGTGGACATGTTGTTGGCTGGAGGTTGCAGGGTGGAGGAAAATGGCGGAAAGACAGCAGGTGATGTTGAGGTAGATTCCTTGCAGGAGCCCTGTTTCTGGGTCTGCCAACCTGCTGTAGACAGAGAAAGTGGCTGCTGCTGTTGCTGCTGTTGCTGCTGCTGTCTAATAAGGTCATTCAGGACCTGTTTCAGCCTGAAGGTAAAAGATTTGTTACAGTGAAGATCATCACAGAAATGCAGTGGCTAATTTCTAAGGCTGCTGCTGTCACCTTTGTACATTGTTCTGCTGCCAGGTCAACTGTGTGTAACATTGGTTGAGCTGGTGCATGACCAGTTGGACCTGCGGTGATGATAAATTGTTCGGTAACATGCTGTAATGGCCGGTCAACAGGGTTTGCAACATGTAGGACAGGTTCTGTGGAGACGGTTGAAACATAATTACTTTTATTTTGAAATTCAAAGGTTTGCACAAACTAAAATGCCATGTATTTTATTTTAAAAGCTCTGGTTTACATTACTCAGCTATGTAGATTTTAGCTCTTAGCAAAAGCACTGACCTGCTGGTCCTGCAAGAGGGTCTGACACATGCTGGTGCTAAAATCCAGTTGCCTCTGAAGCTGGCTGACCTGTTCTTGCCACTGGCATGAGGAGTCAATGAAAGAAAGCTCAGAGGGCAATCGAAAGTTTTCTTGTCTTTGCGTGTGGTGGTTTACAGACAAACTCTGAGACAGAAGTTCCTGCTGCTGTTGTATTTGTTGTTTGCCAGTGGTTTTGTTTGAAAGATTCCCACTACACACAGAGAAGGCTGCTGGGGGATTCAGGTTACTGGAGACACAGACAAGCCATTTTAATGGAAATATTTTTTCAATATCAGCAGTTGTATTAGAACAAATGGTATTTTTTCTTCTTTGGCTCACCTTCCTTGGTTATTCCTGCCACTGTACGAGCACTGGTTCCTGCTGGAAGGGTATATGTGGATGTCATCATCAGAGGTGCTTGCTGCACTTTCTTCCTGCTCCTCTTCACCTATGTCTGCGGTATATTCATCACCATCATCGTCATCTTCACCGTCACCATCATTATCATCTCCATTGAGGTGGCAGGGAGTGGAACCCCAGGAAGCCGTTGTCCTAAGAACCATTGAGAAATGTTTGACAGCTAATAGAATAACACAGAGTAGACTAAGTAACAAAGGACTGTCCCCTACCTTTCATCCCTACTGACAGGTTGTGAAGGTGTAGCCAAGCTATCCTGGTCATCATTCCTGCGAGTGGGAGAGTCATCCAGACCACTACGTCTTTGGTGTTCAGCCATCAAGGACTCCAAGTGCTTCCTGCGTTGACGCAGCTCTTCCCGAAGGATCTGGTGGCGACGCATCTCCGACCAAAGCTGCTGACAATGTACAGTGTAAGGTCTTTAAATCAGATCTCAACATAGACATGCATTTTCAATATGTGATAAAAATCATCTTACCTCATTATCAGTGACTGAGGAAGTGGCAGCTTCTGCTGGAGTGGCCTTGAGCACCGCTGAGTTTGTTTTGGATTCTGATGGAGCGGCGACTTGATTGGCTATTGGGGCTTTTTTCTGCGGTTGACTAATAGAGCTGGACAGAGATGACTAAAAAGACATTAAAGAAAAGTAAATGTTAAGGACTCAAACAGAACTGTGTTTTCTATATTTTTAAAGAGTTCAACCTTCTGAATCAATGCTCATCAAAAGGAAAGGAAGACAGAAAAGTTTAAAAAGTGACCAGCTCTCTGCTTGTTCATGTGTGGAATACCTGGAGGTCAGGACAAGCCCACTGGAGATCTTGGATCTTTCCTTGGATTTCTCGGAGTCTCTGCCGCTCTTCATGGAGCTGCTTTCGCTCTTGTTTCTGCTGAAGCAGCTTCTCCTCATACAACTTCTCCCTGCATTAGGAGTAGTTTTCATTTACTGATGTGTAAAAACCTAAAGTCAATACGTAAAGACATATGAAGTGAAAATTCTGCAAACAGATTCTCTGCGACATTAAAAACATGCTTCACCTGGCTTTACTGGACAGAGTGAGGTTTCTGGGATTCTGTTTAGACACAGCTCCAAGTGGCCGAGAAGCAGTAGTTCTAGTGTTGTTTGGCTGTTGGTGTAAAGCTTCATCTTCATTAGCTGTAGTGACGTCTGTGTCATCACTCTGGAATCATACAAGCAAATGTATATATTTTCCAAATAACCCATTATTCCAGATAAAATACAATCATCCTAAAAAGTTGGTTGACAGTCGTTGTTGCGACACCAAAATAATACTACAGTATTTCATCATCCAAACAATACTTCAGCCCACTCTCTTACTTGAACCATGGCCACCAGTTCTTGCAGCTGCCGCAGCTTCTGCTTTGCTGTGTGACGATGAACCTTCTGAGAAAACCCTGCATCATCTGCATTCCCCACACTGCTCCTCCGACTCGATGCCTCACTGTCTGGTGCCACAGTCTGTGCGCCATTATCAAGACAGTTGTCTTCATCTTCATCCTTCAACTGACTGTATGATGTCTCCCTGTTGTACTGACAATCTGAACAGGGTCAAAGGTAAGGCCAAGTTATTATATTTATATATAAAAAAGTGTGTTACACTAATGAGGGCTGTCAAACCCTAACCCCTATATTCCACTGAATGCATCATCAGCGCATTACAGCTGCGATGTGGTTACCACTGCATTTATCTGCCATTTTAATAAATTAGAAATATTCCACCGGGCACTTTTCAGGAGCGTCCCAGATAGCTGGATAGGTAGAAAGTCCATTTCTGGCGTATGCCACTTCAATCTAAACAGATCATATTACACAAGACTGGAACTTAGACATGGTGTCAGCACACAACTTCTACCACCTTAAAATAAAATACATACTATACTATGGCAGAAGGTAGGAGAAGAAATCTATACAATGGTAGAAGCAGAAATGCATGTGTTTTTCCAGTTGTGAGGGGCAAAGTAAACTGTTTCTTATTGTTTCCTTTATACAGTCCATTGATCGCAAGATCTCCTGGTCTCGCATGATTTCAGAATCATTGCAGAATCTTGTGATATCACAAATTCAGCTGGCTTGCAAGGCTCTCCACCACTGCTATAATGTTCCCAGTGGAATTTAGAGAGAAGTGCCGGACAAAGTTGCACCACAGCCACAGCGCACTGCTGACGTTTTAAGTTGTAATATCAGGGTAACCCTGATAATTTTATAAATCATGAATGATCATAATCATAACTTTTCATGATTATTAATGATTAATTGCAATACCGATATTTTGTGCATAGTGAGTTCAGTGATTACTATTAATTTTTGATGGTGTAGAACATGTCGTTTTCAAATTTCAGCATTTGTCTTCATTGATATAATCAATATACAGCAGGTGTCACCAACATTGTGCCCGTGGACTACCTAAGGTGCCCGCGGGGTATGTTCTAAAAATAAAACTAGTCAATAGGAAGGTCTGAGAAGATTGAATCATTTGAATTTCAATGACGATGGTCATGGACTATTGTATACCCTAAAATTACATTGTTTGGGAAGTCTGTATCAAACAAGTAGCTCTTCATATTACTGTGCCCTTGAAGTAGCTCTAGTTTTGAACAGGTTGGTGACCCCTGGTCAGTCTCTCCAACTGATTGGAGTCTCTTCAATCAGTTGTGTCATTGTCAGTTCAACCTAACCCTAAGCAAGAAGTGTTCCCCATTTCCCCCATAAATCAATGTTTATTCACTACCCATGCATTAAAATTTAAACCCGATTCATTTGAAAAATAACAGTGATTACGGCGTTTAGTTTGCCAGTTCTACTACTAACCTATGTGTTTGTACATACAATTACCTATAGCTGAGGGCATTTTGAGGCTGCGGAGGTTGGCAGCTGACCGGTTGTTGATCTCACACTCGATGTTCAGTCTTCCGTCCCGGTTGTTGGTACCATTGCTTCTTATGGTGCGTCTGTCGGTCAGGCTATTCAGATCTGTCCAGTTTCGATTGCGGTTTCTAAAGAGATAGAAACAAACGTTGTAATTTGAGACCGTTGTCACTGACAACAGAGTTTTTATTTATATGGGCAACCATCCAATCTTATTTTTTTATTTATTCATTAGAACATCTACCTGATGTTAGTTATTGGTTGGCGATTCTCTTGTTCAGAATCAAACATGACTTCAAACAGGGAACTGTCTGTTTCCTCTTCCTGCTCCTCCTCATCATCGCCTTCATCTTCTTTCACATTCTCGTTAATCGCGTCAACCATCATGTCTGAGGTTTGTTCATAGTATTGAACTAATTCTCGCAGCTCATTTAAACGTTTGTGGACCTCTTTTAGCTTCCTGTTGAGAAAGAAGACATTTAAATATAAATTATAAACTATAATATTGAGTTAAAAAATTAACGGAAGCTGTATGTGTTTATGACCATACTTGAGCTTGTCTGAGGAGTTGGAACTGTCCTGGGGTTGAGTCAGTGACGGATGAAATGAAGTGGACGCTGTAGCCCCGTTAGAGGAGAGGGCAGAAGGACAGTCTGAAGACCCCCCAATGCTACAATGTGTCGACAAACCTCGACCTTAAAATAGTTTTAAAAAAAACCTTTGTTAAAAATGCATGTGTGGAGCACAACAAAGAGCCTTGTAAACATGCACTTGTCTCACATGAGCTGTTGTTGAGAGTGTGGTCTCTGAGTGAATGTAGCTCCTGGAGAATCTTGTCCATGGTTTGCTTTTTGTCTTGCAGTTCTTGAAGTTTGGTGAGTTTTGCGCTGGCTGCCGCAACACCAGTGTCCAATCCGGCATGCGGACCTGACGCAGCATGGAGAAGCTGTCTGTGTTTGGGTGGACCAACAGCATGGGGAGGTCTTGACCAACACTCTCTGGAGAGAGATAGACTCTCTGCCTGTCGACGGTTATCTGGTACTGCTTTGGTCTACACAGTAAAAGATAATAAAGAAAATAAATTTTACTTCTTGTATTAATTCTCTGTAAACGTATGTTTTAAAATAGTTTCCAAAGGCTAGGGCTAATCGTCTTCTTACCTGAGAGTCATGTAGTTGGTTGTGAAATCGTTGTATCAAATCATTCAACTCATCATTCAGTTCTGAGGTGATGCTCAGTCCTGACACACTGCCGGTGGTTTCTGTGACAACTGGTGTAAACACACATTTCAGATAAAAAAAAAGTGAATTATTTATCATTGTGACACAGCGTGAAATGTGACCTCTGCATTCCACCCAACACCAAAGTAAGCAAACACCCGAAGGAGAACAGTGCGAGTCGAACCTACGACCTCGTAGACTTAAGTTAATTTCCTTAACCACTAAGCCACCACTGCTCTAAGAAACAAAGTTAATATAAACGGACAACATCTGACTGTTGTCCACCTCCGTTACACAGTAATTACTGTTAAATCTCACCAGTGTCTTCAATCACAGCCAATGCCTGTTCTGCATTTTGCTGCATAGCCATCAGGGCCTCTTGTCGGCCCTGCAGGACCCTGAGCTGCTCCTGCTGCTCCAGCATCTTCTTTAGCAGTTCATGCTGCTTTCGCAGATTCTCCAACTCCTCCTTCTGGTCAGCACGCGCAACCACCCTGCCACCCTGTAAAAAATATCAGTATCAAATTGTCGACATTGCAAGAGAGAGTTAACAAGAAAGAGTCAATAACAAATCACAGGGCAGCATTTTGGATTTAGGAAAACAAACCTCAATATTAACTGGAATGCTCTCTGCCAGTGAACCTGAGCACACAGCAGAATCTAGGGTCCCTACATCGTCCTCTTCATTCTCTTGTGCCTGAAAAGGGAAAAAAAAGTTAGAAGCTATTGACTGTAAATGATACATCTCACTTGGAAATGATTGGTAATATAAGAAACAGTAAATGCAATCTTGTGTTATTATTTGTAAGTAATATTTTTAAAATGTATGTAATGCTTGACACCCAAACACCCTCACAAAGTGTGTTTGTTATGTTCCAATTCTGTTACAACAACATGAAAGAGAGCTCTACTTGGTTTCAAAGAAAAGACAAAGTCATTAAAAAAACAGTTTGCAGCTGGCTGTCTAAGTACCAACAAAAACAGGTTCAACTTCAGCTTCAAATAAGCTGAAGTTCAAGTCAAGCTCATTTCAAAATAGGACACAAATCATGAGACAACATCAGGTTATGGAAACGCTGTTTACATAAACTTACCAGCATTTTCTGCAGGAAACGTAAATAAGACTTCTCTTGTTCCTTGAGGTGAGTGATAAGATGGGAAAGACGTTCCACGTTGGCCGGCACATCGTTCTTCTCCACCAGGTCATCCCGCATAGAGCTGGCTTTACTGATGTACTCGCGGATCTGTATCAGTTTGCTCACCACCTGAGAGCAGACAAAGAAGAAAGGGAGGTGTACGGGTGTAAGTTTCAAAGGAGTAAAACAAGCGATGACATGGAGCGGAGACAGAGGACAGGTGAGCCAGCATCTGTATCGACAGCTTAATCTAGGGCTGAACGAGGACAGAAAGAGGGTTGGGCACACAGGAAACCGAGCACTCTAGGTACCAGGGGTGGAATATTTATAGTGTCCTAAATACAGCCCAGCTTCTGAAGCTCACTTTTATCAGAGCTCTACTTTACTGTAGTTGTGGGGAGGAATGAAATACTTACATTGTACAGGTGTGAACGTAGAATGTACCACAATATTATTGACTTAATGTAAGCTTTAGACTCTTGACAAAACAACTTAAAAACTGATCATTAATAAAAGGGTCCTTTAATTCTAAATCCAATAGACATTCTACACTTAGCTAGTCAACAAATTGTTTCAATGCATTACTGACATGTTGTGTGTCATAAGCTTTTGCTTAAACTGAATGGATAACTTTTCCAACAATACAGGTGTCACTATGATGACACTACATGCACCACCATGGTCTAGTGCAGGGGTCACCAACGTGGTGCCTGGGGGCACCTGGTAGCCCCTATTGACTACCTAAGGTGCCCGCAACCTATGTTCTTAAAATATAACTAGTCAACAAGAGGGTCTAAAAATGTACTGTTACTGTGCTTTTTCATCAGTTCCACCTGCAATGATATTCAAATGGTAAGAAGAGTGTCTAATATGGTATGTCCTAGAACTAGTTATTATTACATTGTTTGTGAAGTCTGTATTAAACAAGTAGCTCTCTGTATTACTAAGTGCCCTTGAAGTAGCTCTCAGTTTCAAAAAGGTTGGTGACCCCTAGTGTTCTGAGGATAGTCCTTGTTTTTAGGGGGTCACAGACTTAAATCCCTGGCCAAGACCTAAAAACCAAAAACACCTCCTGTGGCGTGTGCAATGCTGAGGACAAATTCTGTTGAATGGTTCTGTGTCTAGATACAGTATGTACGATGACCAATAAAGTCTTCATTTTATCACAACACCCCTTGAATCTCAAGTTCAGTTTTTAAATATAATCACTCTCACCACCAAACAGAGATTGTGTGCTTGAGATATGTTACACCAACAAAGCTGATTTTTCTCACCTCCATGGAGATTACTTAGTTGTACCATAATGTGTTGTCATTAAAAGAAGTACATGAACACCATGGTTCAACAGAAAATTGTACCTGGCTGCTGTCTATTGGTGGCTCTCCTCTGTCATACTCTCTTTGCACCAGGAGCCCCCTCTCAGCTCCACCATGACTGACCCTCGCAGTTTCCTTGGTAGGAATCACAGGGGTTAAAGGATCCCGAAGTCCTGTACTCTGCCTCTTGGCTTCTTTAATCACAGAAGGGGTAGCAGGGGCAGAGGCAGAGGGAGGAAGCATTTCCTTGCTTTTGTTTGTGTTTACATGCAGAGGTAGGCAGTTGTAGGGCTTCTTGTTCTCTCCAGCCAACTGGCGCTGGTTGTTGGCAGCTGTGACACGCCCCTGGGAGTCACTGCCAATGCTCCTCTGAAGACAGAAACAACACACAGGTTTCACAAAGTTTCTACTCTCGATTGCTTACTAATCAGCAAAAGACCGCTACAAAAATGGATCGTTTCATGTAATGAAGCCTATGGAATTTAAGTTTTTTTTCCAATCATCATAAATGTCTTGCAAAGCATTAATGTAATTTTCCAATATACGCATATAATATAAGTATGAACCCACATCATTGGGGGGACATTTTTTCCTTTAATATAACATCACAATAAGTGATCAGTGTATTAAATTCAGCAATTCAGCAGTAAAAATTACTAATTAAATAATATAAGTTTTGCTAGTCTGTTGATTGACAGCTCTGATGGTTTTTTTTATCATCTCTTTTTCAAAACTGTTGTTCTAATATGCAGACACACAACAATGTTAGCCACCATCTACTAATTAAACTATGATGATTTTCATGCCATGATTTCCTCCCTTTCTACAACAGGAAAAGCCACATCAGTGCAATAACATAACTAAATGATCATTTATTTTAAAACACATTTTATAGACAGGAAAGTAAATCTGCACAAACATATCATAGCTATGTAGAAATGTCATTATGCAACTACCAGTATGTTACACAGCACAGCAGATTAGGTCAGATTACTTAATGAACAAGTTAAAAAGTAGTTAAAAACCCAAGAGGAATTACAGACAGTTCCTATGCTATACAACAGCAGTAAAAGAACAAGAAAACATGAGTTTCCCATGTTTCCCAAAGCTGAGGGAGCAGAACTATGCATTTCAACTTAAATATTTTCTTTTTTTTGTCTCAGGGGAGCAACTTGTAATTTATTTTTCTTTTGTTTAATGATAATAGCAGTCTCCAGAAAGTGTAGTAGAAAATGCATCTGCAACAACATACCTATTTACAAAAGGGGGACAAGTTTGGGAACCCCTGAAGTAAGTCACTTTCTGAAGCAGTCTCCTCTATGTTCCTCGACAAAAGAACAACTAAAGTGTTTTACCTCATCCAGGTCAGTGAAGTTGATCCTCTGGCGCAGCTTCTCCAGCTCAGCTTGGTCTGGAACAGACATCTGCGTGGTGTATTTAATGTGTGCGAAGGAATGAGAGTTGCGTGCTCTCCTGCGACCAGCACCTGGAGTGGACTCTGGTGAAATATCATTGGTCATGCGGCTCTCCACCACACTGGCCGACAGCTTTTTCTTGTTTTTCTCTGAAGATCGGTTGGCCTTCTTCTGCTGTATACCCCAGGCCTGCAGATGAGAAAACAGAAGATTGATCATTATGTATATGTTCATACATGATTGTACATGTTACTGTACTTAATAAATCACAAGGAGGAAAAAACAGGATGGATTCCAGGATGTTTAGGACCAGATGAAAACAAACACCTGAGATAATGCTTCCCCACTATAGCATGTTCCTGTGATGATCCATTTATGTGATAAACAAAGGTTATTACACACAAATATTGCTAACAAGCTGAAAAAGGTCATAAAGAAACTGCTTTAGTTTGTTTTAAGTACTCCATTAAAGGGGATTAATTACAATTCACTTTGCAAATATCGGTTGGACCATTGAAGGTTCCTTCGGAAGAAAAGGAAAGCCTTATGTTTTCATGATTTTAATGGCTTTTACCCAAGAATAATTTAAGCATAGAGTATATAGTACCAGCAATCACTCCAATCTTTGAAAATGCAGTTATCAAAGCAGGATTTTGAATTATAAATTAATTATTCCATTGACTTGAGGTTGCACTTTAATGTTGCCTCACTCAATTATGTTCCTATGATAAATATCCACAAAATATCCTTTAATAAACAGACATCAAAGAGGAACAATGCTTTGTTGTTGTTGTCATGCTGGCTGTACATCAGACATGTAGTCATTTAGAGACATCAGTTTATCTTTACCAAGCCAACTGCAAACATTCAAGCAATTTGTGGGTTTTGTTTGCATCAGATAAGTTATGATAGAAATCATTGCAGAACAGATACAATGTTAAAATGGACTATTTTGCTTCTTGAAAATACACTATAGTAATGATTGAAAATAAAACAAACAGGTATTTGTCATTGAATACGTAGTGATGGGTGCTCACCATGTTGTTGAGCCTATCTTCCAGACTGCCTTTTGTTACAGTCCAGTTCTGTAGTTCTTCTGAACTACCGTCAAACGGAGCTCCTCCGGTCGCCATACCACGAGCCTAATATTTTTAGCAAACAAAATATGCCGTTCTGATTGGCTTTGCCAACTGTCTTGCAAGCAGACATAAAAAAAACTTGATTGAAAAGTTATTAGGCATTAATACCATCGACTAAATAAGTAATCAAATCAGGGAAGAGAATGATAACTGTAAATGGTAAAAATTAAATATCTACATTTCTGAAGAACAATACGGTTAGGTCTTTTACATAAAAAAATGTACATCTTAAAAAATATGATAACATTAAATGCATATCTGGTGAAATACAGCTGCTGACTGTCAAAATGATGTTCCATTATCTTTTACATTAAGTGAGATATAGCCTGAATTGTAACACTGACGTATAGTTGCCTATGGTTACTTCTAAAACCAGAAGGAGTTATATTTAATGTGACTCGCTTACCATAAAACATTAGCATTAAACCGTAACTTCGATGAAAGACGATGATATCAATTAATATAGCATGGCATAACAAAAACAACACCACCAGCAGCAGGTTAGCGTAAACTGAGTTGACTGCTGACCATAACGCTAATGTAAACACTGCTCACTTGGCTTGTCTTCTAAATGTGGCAATCATTACAGCTAACAGCTAAATGAAAGCGACAAATGCCTCGTTCCTTACCCACAGCAGTCGAACTTTAGCCAACGTTTAGTCGCCAAAAACAATAGAGTTATGAAAAAAAGGTATCGGTCGTCGACTGTGTTCGTGTATGGTTACGGTTTGGTTTCACTGTCCGTTGACGTTAGCTGCTATTAAGCTATTTTGTTTTGTTTGTGTGACCCGCTCACATTCCCGGGTAACAACAATGACTCAGTTCTCTCCGTCAGGCAGCCAGTTACCGCGAGCTTTCACTTTTCACTGATCCCGAGAGGATAAACACGGAGTCTAACTTAGCCCAACTCGGCAAACTGATACAAAGTTTGGAGTTTGTTTGTTTTAGAAACTCTAAGACATACTTTTTACTTTCCGTTCAAATCTGAATCTGACGTTCACTTTGTTCCGTCGCATAATCTCTATGAAAACACGCAGTACCCAGTTATGCATCGGCCAACCCGCTGGTCAACATTCCAGGCACTCTTTCAATAGAACACCCTAATATCGTCACTATATTAGTAACTAGCAATCATTAAAAAAAACCCCAGCCGTTACTTATGGGTTGCAAAGCCTGTTTTTTATTTTTTTATATATTCAATTATATATATATATATATATATATATATATATATATATATATATATATATATAATTTTATATTTTATATATTCAATATATAAAAATTGACATGTTTATATATTGTAGAAGCCAAACTGCTTATTTAACAACGCTGCCATAAGTTACTCTACTGAACTATGTCTAATGTGGATGGACTATTCAACAGTGAAACATTCTATTAAACTATTTATTTATTCTTCAGTCAAGCGTATTTTCCACAGCAGTAAGTAATTAATTTATCTATAATTATTAGCAAAGTCGTGGTGTTATAAGCCACACAAGGCAAAGGCAACAGTTTCCCATTGTAGTAGAGCAGTCAACGAAAAAAACCCTAACTAAATAACACCTAATTTTGAAGCATATACTTCATATTTAATAGGTTGCACCTGTATTTATTCTGGTTAAATTGTGAACATATGTATATGCAACATTGTTATTAGTAGATTCGTTACATAAAACAGTCTCCACTAAAATAATTTACCCTGCCCTTTGTGCACCCTCACCTGTCTGAAATCCATTACAATATTAAGGTGCAGACAGATATATTCTTGGCACTGACTAAAACTGGGTCGATGGTAGTCCAAGTCACTAAGGATAGAGCGAACACGCTCCTCTTTATAATTCAATCAGTGTATCGGGGAATACAGTTCATGTTACAAGGTATTGCTTTGTAAAAACAACATTACCATGAGAAGTGAAGGATCATTGGGAGCGCAGTGATTATGCATCTAAAGTGGACAAAGTAATTTTATTCTCATTCGGAAATGTGCATGTGAAGAGTAACTTAAATACTCGCGGCACTTCGGACTGAGATATGTCAACCCTGACTTGGTAAAATCTAATAGTGCAAGTAAGTTTATCTCACCCCTAAAAACTTAACCACGGCTCTGAATAAAGTCACAAAATCGTTGCATCACCCAATAACCAATATCTGTATCAGCTCACCCAAGGTGAATATTTCTGATATCCAGAACATCAGCGTTAATGCATACGTCACTGACATTACACCTATTACAGTGCTCCATGGTCATCGTGAGTTGCAAAGACTGTGCTAGTATCTGCTAATGCTACACAACGTGCTAACAACTGCCCAACACCAGGGAAATATCTTTGATATTTCAGTAAAAGCTCAACAAATGTCGTTTCTTTATAACTAATAATAACCTATGTGATATTGTAAATTAAAGCTACATGTCAAAACGACCTATTAGTATAACCATCCGTCATCTAAAACAGCAGGTTGACACTAGCGATTGTTTTTATTAATTCAAATGAGCTAGTTTACGTTAGCTGGCATTAACACACATAACGTTAATGTTACCAGTCACTGTAGATGATGTCGTCTAGCACATCATATTCTATGGCGTCTTCATAAATTTGCCCAGGATGTTGCTGAAGTCTTCGGATAAACAGGAATCTGTTCTCGTTGCTAAAACTAAAATGGGTTTGATCGTGGGTTGTCATTTACACCCCTGAACACCAGATGGCGTGTTGTTTGTTGCTAACTAATGATTGACCACCGGAAAAGAACGGAGACGTCGATGATCGTTGTGAGTTCGTTTTATAGAGAGAATTCTGTATCTTCACGCGGAATCGAATTCAAAGCTTGAACTCGAAAGGTCGGGAATCTTTTCCTGCTTCTACTTGTCAACAGTAAATACAACGATTTCAGTTCATCTTCTATTTTTGGTTCAGCGCCGACTGAGCTTTGTTGTCACTTAGCCTTTTAGCTTGTAAAGCTAACCCGTGCCAATGAAAGTCAGAATTTCGTTTACCTTCAGGGGACATTATCTAAAAGAGATACAGTACGTATTAGTTTAATCTAACTTGTTGTGTTTCCATCTGTTTTACCAGCGGTTTTACCAACACAAATTATGGGGTCGTCAAAGAAACACAAAGAAAAGAGTCGCGATAAGGACACAGAGGATCGCCGCCGCGAACACAAGAAACATCGCCACAAGGATCGTGATGTTTCGGATCGAGATAAAGACAAACGAAAACGTTCCAGGTCCCGGGAGAAAAGCAGCCGAGAGAGCCGCAGTAAAGTTGAGAAAAGCAGCGGTGAGCCTCGTGTGAAAAAAGAAAAGGTTGACCCTGGTTATGAAGAGAAAGGTGCAGAAATTGAACCTCATTCTGCCAGCGGAGATGCTTCGCTCAGTATTGATGAAACAAACAAACTCAGAGCAAAGCTGGGCCTTAAGCCATTGGAGTTGAATGAGACCAAGAAGGAGCTTGGTACCAAAGAGGATCCAATGGTAGCCACAACTATTAATCCGGTTCTTATTCAGCAGCAAAAAGACATAAAAGAGAAGCTTGCTGCTATGAAAGAAAAACGCCTACTTAATCAGAAGTTAGGGAAAGTGAAGACCCTTGCTGAGGATGACTGGCTAGATGACACAGCTGCCTGGGTAGAAAAAAGCAGAAAGCTGTCGAAAGAAAAAGAAATGGCTGAAAAAAGAGCCAAGCTCCTAGAGGAAATGGATGAGGAATTTGGTGTGAGCAGTCTTGTAGAAGAGGAGTTTGCAAATATCAAGAATGATGCCTACACATCCCAAGATTTAAAGGGGTTGAAAGTGCAACACAAGGTGGAATCATTTGATGAGGGTAAGACTGTCATCCTGACCCTAGAAGACAAAGGTGTTCTTGAAGAAAAAGAAGATGTGCTTGTGAACGTAGGTCTGGTAGACAAGGAAAAAGCTGAAAAAAATATTGAGTTGAAAAAGAAAAAGCCAGACTACAAGCCATACGAAGAAGAGGAAAGTGTGGATGATATGGTTACATTCAAGTCTCGCTCAGTCCTTTCAAAGTACGATGAAGAAATTGATGGTGAAAAAAAGAAAAGTTTCCGGTTGAACACTGGGGGCTTCGCTGATGGTGAGCGGGAGCGCGAGCTCCAGGCCATGAAAGAAACTCTGCGTAATCAGGCCCAATCTTTGCAACTGCCCGCACTCACAATCGCCTCAGAGTATTATACACCTCAGGAAATGGTTTCCTTTAAAAAGACAAAATGCCGCATTAAGAAAATCAGAAAAAAGGAGAAGAAAATGGCCGTGCAGGAACAACTCCCAGATGACACTCGTACTTCTGATTTTGGCTCTAGAACACGTGGTCGGGGCTGCAGACAGCTGGAGGAGGACAATGAGGAAGTAAAAGAGGTGGAGAGCAGAGTGCAAAACCAAATCCCCTTGTTGTCTGATGACATCAGGATGACAGAAATGGACATTAGTGATGATGAAGACTTCGTAGTTCCTGAGGCTGTTGCAATTGAAGAGGACGAGGCAGAGCAAGAACTACAGAAACAGCTTGAGAAGCAAAGGAAGCTGAAGCAAAAACAGCTCCTTAAAGACTCTGGGGAGAAAGTAGTGGAGCAGACTAAAATCCATATTGAAAAGCAGAACGAAAATGATGCTGATCGAAAGAGCAACATTGTATTCAATGCTACTTCAGAGTTTTGCAGGACTCTGGGTGACATTCCAACCTATGGACTGTCAGGTAACAGAGAGGACCAAGAAGATATCATGGATTTCGAACAGACAGAAGAGAAAGATGATGCTGGAGATTCAGATTCAGAAATGGATGAAAATGTTGGATGGAGCACAGTGAATTTGGATGAAGAGCAAAAACAACCTGACTTTGCCACAGCTTCGGCCACCATTTTAGACGAGGAACCCATCGTCAACTCTGGCCTTGCTGCTGCTTTGTTGTTGTGCACAAAAAAGGGTATGTTGGACACTCAAATGCAGAAGGTAGCCCGTGTCAAAGCTACAAAGGGAGCCTTGCCTAACGTTAATTACTGCATTGAAGACAAGATGGGATTTGATGATAAGTACAGTCGCAGAGAAGAATACAGAGGCTTCACGCAAGATTTCAAGGAGAAAGATGCATACAAACCAGATGTCAAGATTGAATATGTCGATGAGTCCGGGCGGAAACTCACCCCAAAAGAAGCATTCCGGCAACTTTCTCATCGCTTTCATGGAAAAGGGTCAGGAAAAATGAAAACAGAGAGGAGAATGAAAAAGTTGGAAGAAGAGGCCCTGCTGAAAAAGATGAGCAGCAGTGATACTCCCCTAGGAACTGTGGCTCTGCTTCAGGAGAAACAGAAATCTCAGAAAACACCATATATTGTGCTCAGTGGAAGTGGGAAAAGCATGAATGCAAATACCATTACTAAATAAGTGAAAGCTAAATCTTCAAATGTATAAATGGCCACACTGTTTTTGTTTTTGTTTTGTTTTTTGTTTATTTTTTTAGTGGCACAAAAAAATTATAGGCATTGCTGTTAAGGTTGAATTAAAAAAAAATTGGTCATGATGAAAGAGGAGCTCAATGTGTTTGACTATGATTTGACATATTTCTTGTTAAGTCATTATTTTATGGCATTTCAGATCATGGTGAATAAATGTAATACAGTCTTTTTAATTTACAGTTCTTTTGTGCAAAAGCTGATTTGATTGATAAGTGTTTTACAATAGATCACAATAAACTATCTTCTACATGTGGAATAATGTTATGTTCAAACACAAAATGGGACTAGTTAATGTTGACAATAGGTATTTAAAAAAGGAGCCATAACCAAACAGTGGAACTAATTCAGGTAGAGCAAAATTGACAATCTCAGGATAGAGTGACACTTTTTTTAAAAATTTTAAAATATTTCTATATATGCATAGAAAAAACATATATAAAATACAAATAAATATATATATGGTATGTAAATTGCATTTATACCATACCAAGGCAGTAGAACACTAATATGAAAAACATTTTTAACAATAACTGCCAACGAATAATAAACAATGATGCCATATAGGAACCATACCGTACGCATACATTTTCAAAACATAGCCGAGAATAATACATTGTAAATTGTAGAGAAATAACGAATAGCTTTTAGATGAATAAGTAAAAAAGCATCTGCAAAATCGTGAAAACCCAATATCTTCTACATAATAAATGGTTTGCAACCTTTCATCAGTTTTAGCAAATCTCCCATTAATTCGGAACTTACGTTGACAGTTTATGGGGTGAGACGCCCTCTATTTTGTTGCACTACTGAAGTAGCTAGCTGACGAGCGGTAAGTTATCATGTACTAAGACATACAGAATTGATGATCGGAATCACACACGGAGGTGAGATTGCTTCTTATAGACGAACGTGTTGTTATGCTGAATGCCACATATGCAAAGGCAACACGTATCGTGGTGTTAATTCGAAACATCAGCTACCACGTCAGCTAGTTTGATAGCTTCCTGTTTCGCTAACAATCTCAATGACGGTCAGCGTTTAAAGAAACGGGCCAATTTCGAAATGGCGTCTATTTTTTATTCCCGAGAAAGCTCGTCGTATTTGGATTTGACTTACTGTACGATAAAATGTTTAATTATATATAGATATATAATGTGGAGTTGTCATTTATTCGACGATGAGCTCAACAGTTTTTATAAACGGGAGTCCCGTTAAAGAAGGGCACTCGGGTTCGCTTAATCTAAGAACTAGTGGTGCACGTCCTGTTTATTAACGTATTTACTATACACAGAGACGCTACAGCAACTGACTCTTCTTGACGTCGTTGCTAACAGCCATGTCGTATATACTTGTTTTGTGGCCACTTACAAATACAGATTAATCTTATGAGACCTTATGGCAATGTTTTATTATTGCCTTTTAAGTGGGAAGTTACTTTTATATATGTTGCAATGTAGAACAAGTGCCTCAACCTGTACTAAAAGCTCAGGTGACACGGCTGTTGTATTTGACAGTAATACCGTAAAAAGTCTAATTAAAGGTATGATGGGCAGAGCTTCTTTAATTTAGACGTGTATAAGATGCACAGTTACCGAGTTATTTGTGTTGGAGAAAGTATTTTGCTAATGGAAAAGGCTGGGATGACAAGGTGTTACAGATCAAAGTCAGGCTTAACAACACTTTTCAAAGCAGTGGTGTAATATGAAACGGCCCCTCGCTGCATAACACTTGTATTACAACTGTATGATATCTTTTTGTTTTTATTTGCAATTCAAAAGAAACAAGGTATTTAAAGAAATGTCACTGGTCAGTGATGTTGCATAACAGCCTAATAATAGAGTGAAACAAGATTAGTCTTAGTTTGTTGTTTCAGTGCTTTTAAACAATGTCACATTCACAATGAAACTTCTCTGGTATTATAAAAAGATAGATATTGTTGTTGTTGTTGTTTTTTATGTGCCACTGAGAAATCCATGTAATTTTTCATGTCCACAGGATTCATGTCCACCCAGTAGAATCTAAAACTAGTGATGTCAGAGTCTAAGCCCCCTTCTCCAACCACTGGTGACACATATAAGGGATGGCTTTTTAAATGGACAAACTACATTAAGGGTTACCAGAGACGCTGGTTTGTTTTGAGCAATGGTCTCTTGTCATACTACAGGTGAGTTATATCAACATCCCAAAGAGCTAAAGGAAGAATACAGACTTAAATTATTTTCTTACCAGTCAATTCAATTTTTTTTGTTTTACACACTACTCATTCTGTTTGGTCTCAGGTCACACGCAGAAATGGGCCACACATGCAGAGGAACCATTAACTTGGCCACAGCCAATATTGTTGTGGAGGATTCATGCAATTTTGTCATCTCCAATGGTGGAGCACAAACCTACCACCTTAAGGCCAGCTCAGAAATAGAACGCCAGCGATGGATCACAGCATTGGAGCTGGCCAAAGCCAAGGCTGTCAGTATGCAGGCTGAATCCGGTAGGAAAGAGGCAATACATATAGATACATTTGCAAGGCATTTTTAAAGACAGGACGGAAAGAAAGGCAAGGAATATTGCAGGCACCCTCTTGCCTATACGTTTAACGTGTTGCCATCTGGGCAACGATATCACCTCACTGGTAAAATTAGAGCCTTAAGCTATTCAATTTACTTAATCTAACAAGTTAAAACTGAAATTAACATCCTAAACATCCGATAACTGAAGTGCAATTCTTACTGACGATGAGTGTAACTGTATGTCTTTTTTTTTTCTTACTATTTATGAAATCCGACAAGTAGTAGATGATTTGCTGTGTGAGATCTTCTACAACCCAATTTCACCAAGGGGACAAAAACAACTAATACTATTACATACATAAAAAATATATCTCAGATGAAGGAATTGCATCTGAGCTTCAGTAATATATTTGTCCATTGAGTCATTTCTTAATTGGGTTATATTTGTTTCTCTCTGTCCCTGTAGATGACTCGGGTGATGAGTATCTTACACTGCCCCCTACTTCAGGCCAGAGTGGAGGTAGTCGTAATTCAGAAGTCCAGTCCACACTGCGAGTATTTAGCAGCAAAGTCAAAGACCTCAGCACCTGCAATGATCTCATTGTCAAGCACGGATCTGCCCTCCAAAGGTATCAGAAAAAAAGAAGGTGATGTTTGTTTTTCTAAATGTTGTCTAAACCATCTGTTAACTTATTCATTTACTTCTAGGTCGTTGTCAGAGCTGGAGGGAATTCATGTTGGGGGAGACATGGGAGACAAAGTCAGACAAGTCACAGAGAGGGCCACATTGTTCCGAATCACCTCTAATGCCATGATCAATGTAGGTTACACCTGTTTAAATTACAGCCAAAGACAGGGCAGTGTTTCTGACACATATTTCTCCTAGATGATGCTGTTGTGTTCCTGTTGTTTAAGGCATGTCGAGACTTCCTGTCTTTGGCTCAAAATCACAGTAAACGTTGGCAAAAAGCACTACAGACAGAAAGAGACCAGAGGATACGACTGGAGGAGACTCTGGAACAGCTGGCCAAACAGCACAACCACTTGGAACAAGCTTTCAGAGGAAATTCATCAAGTAATCCTGCTGTAGGTAACAAAGGTGAGGCTATCAATCCCAGAGGAACACAAATAAAGCCTGTGGTTCTTAATTTTCTTCGTCAGCCTGTTTGACTGACACTAGTATATTTTTCAATGCATTTACTCATTCAGATGTGATTTCAGGAAAAGGTGATGCAAGTGACGAGGAAGATGACAATGAGTTCTTTGATGCTATGGAAGACCCAGCAGAGTTTATAACTGTCCCTGCTGACCCCAAGTATCACAGGTTATATTTTCTCTAGATTAATCTTTTTAATATTTTGATTCTTTTGGATGAAATCTTCTAGAAGACTACTTTATTTTGTTTTTTGTTTTATAATATCTGCTGCCTTCTGTATTCTACAGGAGATCTGGCAGCAACGTCAGTGGACTCAGCAGTGAGACTGGGACGGATGATCAGTCTGCAAATGTGTGTTAAGCTCTAAGAGTTAAAGTGTCTTGGTGTCAGTGCTCAAGATGTCAAATGCATTACACTTGGTAAATAGTATAGTTATGTGACATTTAAAGGCACAGGTATGCAGATTTTCTAACCCTAACCCAGTTTTTGGTCATTTCTGGTGCTTTAGGTAATTGCCACCTCCTTGCTCTATTTTTTTTACTGGTAAACATTTCCAAGCAGGAAAACGCACTTCTTTTTTGTCAGTGGCATGTGATCTGTAATGTGGCCTTTGCTTTTCTTTTATCAGCTCGACGAACTGTCTTTGGCGTCCAGTCCAGAGTCTTCTCAGTCTCTGGAGCTAAGTAGACAAAGGCGAACCCGTATTCCTGACAAACCTAACTATTACCTCAACTTGTGGAGTATTATGAAGAACTGTATTGGAAAGGAGCTCTCGAAAATACCAATGCCTGTGAGGAACCTGCAGATTGGATGAGATTTATTTTTGCATTTCGAGGAAATGTTTTTATCTTTTTTTTTTTTTTTTTTTTCAACAAGGTTAATTTCAATGAACCACTCTCCATGCTGCAACGACTGTCTGAAGACCTTGAGTACTATGAGCTGCTGGATAAAGCTGCCAAGTGTCAGAGTTCTCTGGAGCAGATGTGTTATGTTGCTGCTTTTACAATCTCCTCTTATTCAACTACTGTCAACCGCACAGGAAAACCCTTCAATCCTCTGCTGGGAGAAACATTTGAGCTTGATCGATTAAAAGAGTCTGGGTACCGCTCCCTCTGTGAGCAGGTAGGTATTGGAAAAATAGACTTTTTTTTTGTTATTTACCCAGGATCCATCCTAAGTTGACTCTGTGCTTCTTCTCTTTTCCTTTTATCCATTTCTTCTCAGGTGAGTCACCATCCACCTGCTGCAGCTCACCATGCTGTGTCTCAGAAGGGTTGGACCCTCAGACAGGAAATCACACTGTCTAGCAAGTTCAGGGGAAAATATATTTCTATTATGCCCTTAGGTGAGTTGGGTGGTTGGACCATGTGTGCTTCTAAAATGTAGTGCAAGTTAATATGTAAATAATACAAAAAGTTGTTTTTTTTTATCATCAACAAATAATACGTATTTGACCATAAAGTGTTTTTATGATTTCCTTGTCAAGAAGCAATACTGTTCTTGTGTATCTCAACAGGTTCTATCCAGTGTATATTTGACAAGAGCAACCATCACTACTCTTGGAAAAAGGTCACTACAACAGTGCACAACATTATTGTGGGGAAATTATGGATCGATCAGGTAATCCTAGGGCAGCATTATTTTGTCAGCATTATGACACTGCTCCTTATTAGTTTTCACTGAAAAGACCCTGCTGATCTTTTTTACCATTTATTTCACTCCAGTCAGGAGACATAGATATTGTGAACCACAGTACAGGAGATCGCTGTCACCTGAAGTTTGCTCCATATAGTTATTTCTCAAGAGATGTACCAAGGAAGGTTGGTTTCTTTTCTTAACGTTTGTCTTCAAACGTGAAGCGTTTATTACTGGAAATCCTTTACTGGAGGTAGCGGTTTACAATCAAATTTAAATTTTTTCTTCAACACCATCTCACATTTCAGGTAACAGGAGTTGTGACTGATCAGGCTGGAAAAGCCCATTATGTGTTGTCAGGAACATGGGATGAGAAGATGGAGTTTTCCAGGATAATGCAGAGCAGCAGAGGAGAGGACGGTGCAGAAGGCAAACAGAGGACTGTGTATCAGACCCTAAAAGCCAAAGAACTCTGGAGGAAGAACCTTTTACCGTACGTTGTGGTTGTTGCATAAGAAATGTATACATATTTGGAAATATTCTCGTCATTAAGTTATCTTGTATTGACAACACAGAGACGGAGCAGAAACCATGTACTTCTTCTCTTCGTTGGCTCTGACTCTTAATGAACCTGAAGACAGCGTGGCACCAACAGACAGCAGAAGACGTCCTGATCAGCGACTAATGGAGGACGGCCGCTGGGATGAGGCTAACACCGAAAAACAGAGGCTGGAAGAAAAACAGCGCATAGTCCGTCGGGAAAGAGAGAGGGAAGCTGTCAAAGCAGCCGACTCACCCGATGATAGTAAGAAACAAACAAAAATATTTAGTTTGTTTGTTTTGGATTTCATCAACTGTGTTTTGTTTATCTGTCCCTGTATGTCTTGTGCATGTTCAATGTTTGTTTTTTGCTTTTCTCCATCTTAATTTAGAGCCGTCACTGAGGATTCTGACAGTGACTTGCACTCCCATTCTTTGCTAATGCAGCTGCACACTGTCTCTACTGTTGCTTTAATGTGTGGGATGGTGTGAGAGTGAATGTAATAAGTGGACATCAGCTTATTTACATTTCACTGCATTTCTCTTTATTTCTTCTTTGTCTCATGAAGCTGATGCACAGGACTCTGGCACAGGGGCAGTCCAGTCTTCTGACAACTGCAAGTATTATTTCCACTGCCTCACATTGTGTGTATTAACAGTGCTGAGGGTTTGACATTGTGACAAACAATTGATCTTAGTACCGGACTTACACCATTGGATTTAAAGCTTCTCAAACAAGTACCTGTGCTGGTGCATTACTAGTGTTCAGGCACTTGCTCTGTTTATACAAGTCTTCCAAATATCTCATGAAAAGCACTTTGGAAATATACACAAGCAAGATAACAGTGTGGATTTTATTTTATTTTTTTAATATTTTTGTTGTCACTTAGCTGACACAGAGGGCTCTCCTCCACATACACCTGTTGCATGCAAGTAGCTCTTTCTTTCTTGTAGTTAAGTAGAAGCTGCTCTTTTTCTTTTCCCCAACCTCCTGCACTTCTTGCTTTCTCTTGTGCAGTGGTTCCCAAATCTTTTATTTTGTCACAGCCATAACTTGTGTTTGTGTTATTAGTACTTTTCCTAGTATTAGTAGTGTCATAGAAGAATCATAAAAGAAAACTTGTAATGTATTATTATGACCAAGTCCTCTTCTACACCTGACCTGAGGGTTCACTTCCTGAAGGTTCCACAGCAGTTACCCCTGTTTTTCTTCCCTGCCAGGCCCTCATCAAGACAACTACAGAGCACTTTGGTTTGAGAAGATGGATGACCCCGTCTCTGGAGAGACCCTGCACGTCTACAAAGGCGGTTACTGGGAGGCGAAGGACCAGGGCACCTGGGACATGTGCCCAAATATTTTCTGATCACAGACAAAATTTGAATTTGTTTATGCTTGCATTCTTAAGAAATTACAACCCTTACATTGACTCGAGTAAGGAGGCCAACCTTCACAAAGCAATATTTACTTAATCCATATCAAGAATTTTTGCTAAGTATGTAAAACTAAATTTGCCTTTGACAATGTATCAGTGAAGCACTGTAACAAAATGTTGGTATAAGTCAAGGAAATCTTTCTTTTTTTAATTATGAAGTTTATTATTTTATTGTGTTTTTTGTTTAGTATGCTGTCATTTTAACACATTGAATACTACCGTATATTAACTGAAATTGTGGTTCTAGGGAGATGTCTTACTGTAAATATTTTAAACAAATGTAACTAATTTCTATGTTTGTTTGAGAAATGCCATTGAAACCCTGTTGTCAGTTTTCATTCTACTTCTATAGCACATTGGTTTGGAATTTTTTCAAAACGTTTCACTCTGATGCAATGAAACCATCATTAGTATTCTTATGGTTATAAAAGGTGGGTTCTTGTAAAATGTGTCTACATTTATTTTTAAATATGGGCATTAATTAAGAGAATTAGAATGAGGAATGTAAATATTTCTCAGGCTAACACTGAGCCATGTTCGAAATTCTGCTCAATCAATTTTAGTCAAAGAAGGATTTACTTCTTTAGTTTTCTTTTAAAGTGCAAAATTGTTCCTTTAACGTCTCTCTTTTTGTAATGGATATGATTATAAAAACTAAACAAAGCAAGAAGAGCACCTAGGTGTTTACATGGACCAAATGACACACAGTGAAATGTTTTATAAAATCTGATTTTTATTTCTCCAGTTTTGTTCTTTACTATTATTTGTTTATGTCAATTAAAGTGAATGGTTTAATTGTATTTCACATTCAAGCAGTCTTAAAAGGAGATTCAACAAAAAACCTTTGAATTCAAATTTCTATGTCATCAGTACTTAGGTGTAAATATAGGAAATATTGAATTTATAATATGAACTTTTTTTTGTTGCCACACTTCATCTTCATCATCTCAAATACATCTCCTTAGATATGATGTCCTCCCAGTCTTTGTCATCCTGATTAATCCAATAATAATTATTCCTATTTATTTATTTATTCTACCACTACTCTACTCTTATTTACTCTAAATCTTGCATCTTTCTGGAGTTTATCTCTTATTTGTGTATTTTTAGGATTTAATTTTAACTGTTTCCTCTTAATGTCTAAGCTCTTTTTTCTGCTATGGAAATGGGATAACTAATACAGATGGTCAGAATTTTTTTTTCACTATATTAAAAAAAAAAACAGTTCAAAATTAAGACTCATCTATCTAGTGCATATGTGTCAAACTCAAGGCCCGGGGGCCAAATGCGGCCTGCCAAGCCATTTGTGTGGCCCGCGGGAGCTTAAAGAGTATTTAGTGAAGTCCGTGCAGCAGCAGGTTCTTAACCTATGGGAGACCAAACAACCACTTCACAGGCGCATGGCCCAACACAGGAGGTCCAACTCCTCAGGACAGGACTCAGCTGTTCACATACAGCTCTAGGACAAAACACACTCCTTTGAGGACAACAATGTCCACATTTTGGCCAGGGAAGACAGATGGTTTGAGAGAGGGGTAAAAGAAGACATTTTTGTCAACCTGGAAAAACCATCAGTCAACAGAGGAGGTGGACTCAGACCCAACCTATCACCCACATACAAAGCACCTTTAGGAACAATACCCAAAAGTTTCACCTCAGTTTCACATAACATAGGTAGGTGACCAAAACCGTTCTGATGGGGACCACAACGACCTGTCAAACTCTTAACGACTGTTTACACTTTCACAGTTGACCCCAAGGCCCTACCCAACAGGGTGGACCTGAAGTAGCTTTATTCACACCTAGAGTATACATATATCTGCTGTACTTCCCACCACCAGTGGGTGCTGTACTCCCCACCACCAGTTAGAACCGAAGAAGCCTCTTGGATGAGAGGTGAAAAGTCTTCTTTTAGAAAATTCATGTCCAGTTGCCTAACAGAACTCTTCAACCTTAACCTATGAAATTAAAAGTATTATAATAAATCAAATAATACTCAATTGCAGAAAGATATATTAGTCTGTTATGGAGTAGTTACATCTTTACCAGCAGTCCTTAATTTGTTTTGTTCCAAGGACTGGTCAGCTAGTACCATCTGTTACTACAGACCAGTAGCATGGTGCTGAGCATCGTAGGATCATTACATTTTCAGAATAAAAGATATTTTAGACTCTATTCTATTAGTATTAAATCTGAATGACCTATTATTTTAAAATTAGATACAATTAGATGATCTTTTTACAGATTATCTTTAAATAAAAAAAGTAAATGTATATGACTGCACTTTTTTGAATGAAGTAAATTAGTAAAAATAAGTGCGTTTTTCACTGTGTCCCGTTATCAAATGACCTATGAACTGGTATGGGTCAGTGGACCAGGGTTTGGGAACCCCTGATCTACACAGTCTTCCATTTACAACCGGCCCTTCAAGGGGAACTATTGCTGATGTGGCCCCCGATCTACCGCTTATTCCTTTTCTGGGATGCGGTGGGCGCTGGAGCCAGTCCCAGCTATCAGCGGGTGAGGGCGGGGTAGACGGTGGACAGTTCTTCAGTCGATCGCAGGGCCACATATAGAGACAAACAACCGCTCACGTTAACACATACGGTCAATTTAGAGTGTGATCAATCTACTGCTCTATCGATGTTTTTGGGCTGTGGCAGGAAGCCGGAGAGAACATGCAAACTCCATACAGAAAGATCAGCCGTTATGCTCTTGCTGTAGAAACAAGTGTTCTACTAACATTTGCCACCGTGTGGCGCAAAATCAAAACGTACTAATGTATTTACCTAACAATGTGGTTCAACTCTTCTTTGTGTTTTATAAGGAATTGATCATATTAAGAGTGCAAATCTTTGTCATCTTTCAAATTCTTTTGAAATTCTGATAAAGGTTTGCACATAATTATGTTATGAGTAACAAACAAAAGGTTTGCATCAAAAGTGCAATCAAGTATTTAACGTATTTACCCACATTTTTTAAAAATTATGGTGAGGTCGGTGATTTCATTTGGTGTCTCCATAAAGTAGACTTTAGCACGCTAACTTTACCAAGCAAATTTACTACCAGCTGTTGCTATTGTCAATATGCATAGTTAAATTGAATATGGTCCCCACCCTTGTCTATCAGACGGTAGACACGGGAGTTTATATGAAGCGCTTTCTCTAAGTGACGTCAGCATCTTTGTTTATGCGGCTTCAGCTCGTCACCTCTGTGTCCCCCAACCCATTTTCACTCTGTTTGTGGACAAGGAGTTTTAACTTGTCGTTTTTCACGGCGCGCCTTTTGTTTAACTGTTAGTCTTGCGGTTTGTAAAATATTTGAGTAGACATCATGTCGGCGAATGGACGAGGATCTGGAGAAGACGCCACAGACGCGCGACGGGGCGATGAGCGGTGAGTTAGTTTGGCTAGTTAAATTATCCACTCTTTTGTTTGCTGTTGTTGAACATCACAGAGCGATGACACAACAGAACCCGCATTTCCATTTCTAACCCTTTAAAAAAACAAACATATTATTTGCTTTGAGACACTGTCGCTCCAAACCTGTGTAATTAACGTCATAAAAGTGTTTATTTAACCAGCTAACACGAATTAGCCTCCCTGTTTCCACTCTATCTGTGTTTGTCTCGCCTTCTTCTCCGTTTACTTTTCGTAATTGTGGACTTCTTTCTGTCCTTTCAGGTCAGAGGGTTCTTCGGTTGATCCAATGGACGTGGATGCTAAGCCCCGCTCCCATAGCTTTAGATACAGTCTGGACTTCTCCAGCATCGGTCAATGCGTCATCATCAACAACAAGAACTTTGACAAGAGAACAGGTGCTTGTTTTGTCTATTATTATTATTCCGTTGTGCTCGTCGTGTGTGTGTATATATATATATATATATATATATATATATATATATATATATG